CCCCCTGTTGGTCAACAACAGGTACTGACCCACAAACATGATTACAGCGCCCCCTGTTGGTCAACAACAGGTACTGACCCACAAACATGATTACAGCGCCCCCTGTTGGTCAACAACAGGTACTGACCCACAAACATGATTACAGCGCCCCCTGTTGGTCAACAACAGGTACTGACCCACAAACATGATTACAGCGCCCCCTGTTGACCAGCCGCCACTGACTGGTGCCCACATCCAGCAGTCACTGAGGGGTGGGCTACACCCTGGACAGGTCTCAGGTCCATCACAGGGCTAATCCTGAATTTACCACATCAACACTACTAAAACATTAAATGTTTTAAACTTTAAATCTGAAACATTAATGAAAACCAGGGATTTTTAATCCAGCTGAGTATTTTCTGTGGCGAAAACACAAACATCATTCATTTAGTTCTTTATTTACAACTGTCAATGACAATCATTACAAAACAAGTATTTTCTTTAATTAAACATAAAAAAAATTAAATAGGAGTTGGTTCAAGTGAAAAAAAAAAATAAACAGTTTGGGCTCTCAGCACCTGGGGTCACACAGACTGGAGAAGATGGCACCATGAAATGATTTTACTGAAAATAAAACCCTTTTAATGAACCAAAACAACCTTTTCAAACAAGTGAAATATAAAAAATAAACTGCCATACAATTATCAAACAGTATAAAACAAATGATAAAAATACAGTAATTATAACATGTGAAGTACTTTAGTCACGGTGGTATGAAATGAGATGTAAATTCGGTTAGATTGTGACATTTAGTACTAACACATTGTAACATCAAAAAGAAAAGAGCAGTTTAGTGCTTGATAACAGAGTGACTGTGGTTATTAATGATGTCATAGAAAGCTAAAGTTTAAATGTGATTGACAGCACATTTATCTGTTTTTCACTTGAGGTTACATATTTTGACAGATGTGCCGACTCCGAACCCAGGGTAGAGCGGTTCGGTGAAGGTGGTGTGGAACCTGTGCAGGAGGCTCATGGTGTTACCGATGCTATAAAAGGCCAGCACCCCCGCCGTGTGGTCCAGGTACACACCTATCCTGGACGAGTGGGGGCCACTCACGGCTTTGTCCACTCGGTTGTGCCAGGCGGAGTAGCCCGAGTCCGAGCAGAGGAGGCTCCAGGACTTGTCGTTGTAGCCCAGGAGACACAGCGAGCCTTTGCCCTTGCGGCTGATGCCCCTGTAGGCCACGCCGATGGAGAACTCGCCGCTCCACTCGATCTCCCAGTAGAAGCGGCCCCCCGACAGGGCCTCCCGGCACAGCACCTGGGCGAAGCTGTCGAACCTGTCGGGGGTGTCTCCGTAGGGCTGCAGGTCTCTGGTGCGGATCACTTTTCTGTAGTTGTCAGAGATGTACAACTCTTTGTAGGCTGTGCTGGGGTCCAGCTTCAGCTGGCAGAAGTCTGAGACAAGGAAGTTTGATTTTTGTCATTTTTTGGTGAAATCTTTCTACAAATATTAGCTTTATTCTGTGTGGTGATTTGTRTTATGTAATAAAAACTAAATGTATGGTGGTTACTTACATTTCARAAAATCAGATCTGGACTTTGGCTCTGGAGGAGGAGTGTTGTCCACCGTCATTTCTTTGCCTGTACCTGAAGCAGAACTGTGTTAGGTCATGTTCAACTAGTGTTGGGCAGTAATGGCAAAAATATTAATCACGATTAATCGGTGCATTTAGMCGATAACGATTAACTTGATAATTAATCACCTGGACACCCTTATGTCCTGGTCACATGACCAATTTAGGGGGAAAGATTGTCTCTTTATAAAAATCTGTTCCAAACTGTGTCAAAATTAAACTTCAAACTATGCATCAAATTTAAATAGTGTTGGCAGATAAATAAATTACAGAACTTTTTAACAATTTTTTGTCATATTTGAATCAGAGAGGAGCACCGAGCGGACTGACCCGTGACATTAATCATATTAATCGTCAAGAGCCAAAAAATAATTGATTAATGTTTTTCTGATGATTAATTGCACACAGTACAAGTATGTCCAAACTTATGCTGAACGGAACAAAAACTGCTAGTTTATTGTGCGAAAATCTTGAGCCAACTTTTGTTTCTTTATCATTTGGTTCCAAGGAGTCAAACCTGTTTTTAATCTTTTAAGTTAATCAGTTGTTCTTCAGATATTCATTTTATTTTCATTGGTTAATTTTTCCGTTTATTTTCTGTTCGGTACTTAACTATTGTCAGAGGAGTGTTTTTTCTTTTGTTAAGCTACTTGAGTCGAACTGGTGAACCAGCAAAAACTAAACTCCTAAACTCCAGGAGTCAGTGTTGCATCACATGATGTAACAGTCAGCATTTAAAATGGTATCTTTACACACTTTGTTTGAAGCATTTTTATGACTTTGTCATAAAAACACAATTTGTTCCCACTTCGATTCCAAAGAGAACACAGTTTGACAGAAATAGTACTTTTACTTTTTACTTCCTGAGCCTGGTTCTGCTGGAGGTTTCTTCCTGATTAGCAGGGAGTTTTTCCTCTCCACCGTTTGCTCAGGATGGGAGACTGTGATGAAGTGATTCAACACAATCTGCTGCTTTCTTCTTTACATTGATCTTTTTATCTACAGGGTCCTGAGACAACGTATGTTGGGACTTGGAGAAATACACTCACCGGCCACTTTATTAGGTACACCTGTCCAACTGCTTGTTAACACTTAATTTCTAATCAGCCAATCACATGGCGGCAACTCAGTGCATTTAGGCATGTAGACATGGTCAAGACAATCTCCTGCAGTTCAAACCGAGCATCAGTATGGGGAAGAAAGGTGATTTGAGTGCCTTTGAACGTGGCATGGTTGTTGGTGCCAGAAGGGCTGGTCTGAGTATTTCAGAAACTGCTGATCTACTGGGATTTTCACGCACAACCATCTCTAGGGTTTACAGAGAATGGTCCAAAAAAGAAAAAACATCCAGTGAGCGGCAGTCCTGTGGGCGGAAATGCCTTGTTGATGCCAGAGGTCAGAGGAGAATGGGCAGACTGGTTCGAGCTGATAGAAAGGCAACAGTGACTCAAATAACCACCCGTTACAACCAAGGTAGGCAGAAGAGCATCTCTGAACTCACAGTACGTCGAACTTTGAGGCAGATGGGCTTCAGCAGCAGAAGACCACACCGGGTGCCACTCCTTTCAGCTAAGAACAGGAAACTGAGGCTACAATTTGCACAAGCTCATCGAAATTGGACAAGAGAAGATTGGAAAAACGTTGCCTGGTCTGATGAGTCTCGATTTCTGCTGCGACATTCGGATGGTAGGGTCAGAATTTGGCGTCAACAACATGAAAGCATGGATCCATCCTGCCTTGTATCAACGGTTCAGGCTGGTGGTGGTGGTGTCATGGTGTGGGGAATCTTTTCTTGGCACTCTTTGGGCCCCTTGGTACCAATTGAGCATCGTTGCAACGCCACAGCCTACCTGAGTATTGTTGCTGACCATGTCCATCCCTTTATGACCACAATGTACCCAACATCTGATGGCTACTTTCAGCAGGATAATGCGCCATTGAGGCAGTTCTGAAGACAAAAGGGGGTCCAACCCGTTACTAGCGTGGTGTACCTAATAAAGTGGCCGGTGAGTGTACATTATAGTTTTGGAGAATCATCATAATGTTTGACAGAGGGGGTACTAGGGGTATGAAAATTTGGCTCAGGGGGTACACACATCTGAAAAAGGTTGGGAACCACTGGTTTAGAGAAAGAGTTGTGGTTAAAGGAAATGCACAGTACTGTATACGGTAGTCCTGTTTGTCTACTTTAGTCGTACAGAAACGATGTCAGTTGACAGAACTGGTCTCACCTCTRCTCCTCCTGTCCAGTGTTCTGCTCTCAGTGGTGTAAACTGGGACCTCGTTCACTGTGGAGCAGAACACAGTCACCTTCAGAAAAACGTTGGGACAGAAACTGTTGAGTCTGGTAAACTCAGACGGACCTGTCTTGGAAATTCTGAGCAGTTCCTCCCTGCCAAACTCCTCGAGGCGTTCCTTAATCTCAGCCACGGCCTTCCTGACCGCCCCGAAGGAGAAGTCCGGATTGACCGTCACCTTGGGTATGAAGCCATCATCGGTGGGGGTGCAGAGGTAGTTGAAGTTCTGATGGGGGGTGAAGAAGGTAAAGAAATACATCAACATGCTGAACTGACCCAACGTATGTCTATTTAAGATAACGTTTGAAGTCTTCTTTGTAGTTTTTATCCAAACCAGAAGAGTTCAAGTTCAAGTTTATTCATACAGCTCCAAGTCCCAACATACGTTGTCTCAGGACACTGTAGATAAAAAGAACAATGTAAAGAAGAAAGCAGCAGATTGTGTTGAATCACTTCATCACAGTCTCCCATCCTGAGCAAACGGTGGAGAGGAAAAACTCCCTGCTAATCAGGAAGAAACCTCCAGCAGAACCAGGCTCAGGACAGGAGACCATCTGCCTCGACCGGCTGCTTGGAGGACAGGAAAGAGACACAGACAAACACAGAAGAACTGGTCCAGGACTGGTCCAGGACAGGAGACCATCTGCCTCGAACGGCTGGTTGGATGACAGGAAAGAGACACAGACAAACACAGAAGAACTGGTCCAGGACTGGTCCAGGACAGGAGACCATCTGCCTTGACCGGCTGGTTGGGGGACAGGAAAGAGACACAGACAAACACAGAAGAACTGGTCCAGGACTTGAAACCATCTGCCTCGACCGGCTGGTTGGGGGGACAGGAAAGACCACTTAGTTTTTGGAAAATACCCAGAATTTCATTGAAGCTTCTTCATTTTGTGAAAAGACCTGGTTCTGTCTCACCTGCAGGAAGTGGATGTGGTCCTCGGTGCTGTAAAGCTGTTTGAGGCCAGTCTCCTTCTTCTTCAGTTCATCGATCTCCTGCTCCAGTCGCTCTATCAACGTCTCGGCCTGGTTGAASGCAGCCTTCTCGTTGATCCCAATCAGTTTGGTGACCTCTGACCTCATCCTCTCAATGGAGCGGATCATGTCCTCGAACATCTTCTGGCTCTCCACCATGGCTCGTTGGGCAGAGTTCTGCACAGAACCACAGAAAGGTTCAGACACACATTTGACCCTAACCAATGATTTTGATCTGGTCTGAAGACAGGAAGTCCTTACTTTGAGTGAATCCACAGCAGTCTTGAGTTCCTCCAGCTCCTTCACCCTCTCCTGACATTTCTGTCTAATCTCAGCTTGAGAGACTCCCAACAGTTTCTGCAGATAAAGAAGAACAGCGACTGTTTTAAAGACACACTGAGAACTGGACTAGACTTGAGTCAACATTTTAAAGATGKAAGTGGACGTTATGAGGTTTTATACAACTTATTGTGGATCAGGACTGGCATTCTTTTTTTAATCAAGAAATATCTGGGGAGGCCCCTTCGGCACGTTGAATAAAGCCCACTTTTATACTTTTACCTCAGAGCGAGGGGGGTAAAAAAAACTGTAAAAGGATCCTGGCCCTGGCAGGAATGTGAAACCACCGCTGCCTGACATGTTTGGAGCTGCAGAGCAGTGAGGGGAGCAGAGGAAGGCTTCTCATTCAGCTTTCACACAAACCCACCGGCCCGTTTTTCAAGATAAGCTCCAGGAATGCAGGGAATCTGGGGAGGGGTCGGTGGGGGGCTACGTGAGAGGGGGAGGGGAGAGCTCTGGAGATGGAGTAAAGGATACAAGGTGCAAGTTTAAATCTTTGCATGAGATAAACCACATCAGCATGTAGTAAACATCTTAATTTTATATGTGTTGTTTGTTTGTAAAGTTACACAGTCAAAAATTACCATCAAAATTTTTGTTTTATTTAGACTTTTATAAGNATTAAAAGAAATAATCCTGTGTCCGCATCGTGATCCGAAACATCACCGAAATTTAATGGTGTGTTACATGTGCTAGTGTGAGCATGTGTTGTAAATATCATGACAATCTGTCCACACGTTTTTGAGTTATGCTGTCCACAGACAGACAGACATGCGTGACCGAAAACATTACCTCCTCGGCGGAGGTAAATATTTATCCTAGTATAATACTACCCCCCAACTTTATGAATGATTTTTTGGATTAAATTTTATGTATTATATATATAATAAATACGGTAATTTTGTTCAGTGTTTTTATTGTATTTTATGGAATGTTTTTACTTTTGTTACTTTGTTCTGTTGAAAATTGTGGGACTCTGAAGACATGATTTTATTGGGTTTTTTTGCGCAATTTTAGCAGTATAGAAATCTAGTGCAGCTTTTGTTGTTAATAAAGTGCTACGCAAATACAACTGAAACTAATTCTAAATAATCC